GTTGGTATTAGTGGTAGAGTGGTTACCTAGTGTATATGAAGTGTTGGGAATGAGAGAGACAGAATAGCAGTATTCTCAAATGTATCTATGGTACTATTCAGAAGGGACAGAAGAAGCATATTACAGGTATGGTTTAGAAGAGAATCTTGATAATACTTAAGTCCCTACAACTGCTTCACTAGTAAGATCTTTTAGCTTGATTTTAGGATGGAGACAGTCTGATATAGTTCATATTTGTAAGTGACTGACAAACTACCTTATACTCATGATGCCTTTTTAAAATAAGCACATCAGATCAGCTATTTAAATGATTTTATTCAACGTCACAGTCAGTAAAATGACAAAGCCTAGAAATATATGCAAACTAAATTCAATGTCAAAAAGTGTTACCAGGGCAAAGCCACCCTTAAGGATATATTCTGTAGTTTCTCTATACCTAAAAATCATTTATATATTTCAAAAAGGAATGACTTAAGAGATATGTTTTACCTCAAGTTTCCTAAGCAGTTGTTTGATTCAGGTATGGAAGAACTAAACATACATTAGTGTACAGATTCATGCTTTAGATTTTTATCCAATGGTAGCTAACAATGCATATAGCTATATAAATTCAAAGGAATTTAATAACCTAAACTAATGCAGAGTTCTAATGGACAGCATTTATCTGGAGTGTGGATACAGGAATTAAGTAATTCTATTGCTTCAGCAGTAGAAAGAATATTGCCTCTGAAGACCAAAGTACTAAATTTGAGTTGTACATTTTTGCCTCTGAAGACCAAAGTACTAAATTTGAGTTGTACATCTTTCACTAATCTTTCATTTATAGCTATATCTTTCATTTCTCTCTTTCATTTATTCTATATTTCATTTATGACTCTTGAGCAAGCTTCTAAGTATCTGAATGTCTTGTTTCTTCAATCTGTTATGAAATTGGGAACTAGAAAAATAAGGTGATGGGAAGGAATATCACCGTTGCTCAATAACTACAAAATGGGGAGACTGGAAAGGTGGCTCAGTGGTAGAGTGCTTGCCTAGCATGCATGAAGTCCTGGGTGCGATTCCTCAGTACCACATACACAGAAAAAGCCAGAAGTGGTGCTGTGGCTCAAGTGGTAGAGCGCTAGCCTTGAGCAAAAGAAGCTCAGTGACAGTGCCCAGGCCCTGAGTTAGGGTCCCAGGACTGGTTAAAAAAAAAACAAAAAACCACAAAATGTACAACATGCCGTTCTTCATCGAAGCCCCATTAAAAGCCTTTTGTGGCCTTGTGCAGAACAGAAATATACTGTTTCTAGGGCTGGGAAGGTGGCTCAGTGGTAGAGTGCTTGCCTTGCATGCATGAGGCCCTGGGTTCGATTCCTCAGCACCACATAAGCAGAAAAAAAAAAAAAAAAGCCAGAAGTGGCACTGTGGCTCAAGTGGTAGAGTACTAGCCTTGAGCTGAAGAGCTGAGGGACTGCACCCAGGCCCCACGACCAGACCCCAACCCCCTCCCCCCACAAAAAAAAGGAAATATACTGTTTCTGAAAATTAGAGAGAATTACCACATTTAAGGCCTTGATTAATAAAAATATTTTCCAAGATTTCACATTTCTCTTGGGAGTAGCATATGTGGGTATGGATAGTCATGTATGTAAGAAAAACTTAAAAATAAGTGCATAAAACAATTATAGAACTGGAAAAAGTTTCAGTTCAATGCTCTCTCACATTAACTTAAAACTTGATCTGAATGAAAGAAGGTGAATATGAAAGTGTAATTTTAGTTAAATGGGTCAGGTATCTTGGTGGTATTTCCCACAGGAGAGCAACAAAAGAATAGCTATATAATCAGGTATAATTACATAGATGCATAATCAGATACTAACTTTTTACTTACAGAACAAATCCCTAAACAACTCAACAGCTTACTCACCTGATAAAACTATTTTCTACTTTTAAAACTAGGCAGACAAAACTCACACATTAGAGAGGCTTTAGTATTTCCAACTGAATACTTTCTTGGCACTTCTTGACATAGCTTTTCTTTTAAATACTTTCCCTAATGGAATAACTTGGTAATTCTGTTCAAGGAAAGAAATCTTTTTTTCAGTCCCTTGTTGAAAATCATTCTAAAATGCATTAATTTACTTTTCTTAAGTATATGCTTGTTAATGTGGGAATAAATACTACTGATGACTTAAGGTGTCATCACAGTAAATTAATCCACAATATTAAAATGGGGCTATAATTATAGGATACTGACAATTTTGTATTAATCTCAGACTATAATATAGATAGTTATGTTTTCACAGAATAAGGTTGGTAATTAAATTGATTGCTTTAACTGGTTCTGTATATGGTTTTAAAATACATTTCCAAATAACTGAAGTTCTGTTGTTAGTTTCTAGGTGATTATGGTTCAGTTATATGTCACATTTCAATTTCATAGATCTCTTTACTAGTGAGAGAAATACAATACAATTTAGTCTTACGCTAAATAGTAATTAGATTCATGAGTCTCTCAAATCATTTTCCCTACTGACTATTAGGAATAACACATATTGAGTTTCCAGAGAGTTAAAAGCAGAATTAGCCTACTCAGGGCCTGAGTTCTGTCCCTGAGCTTTTGTGTTTTAGGCTAGCACTCTACTACTTCAGCCACAGCTCTACTTCAGGCTTTTTTGTATGTATGTATGTATGTATGTATGTATACATGTGTGATTAAATGGAGACAAGAGTCTCATAGATTTTCCTGCCCAGGTAGGAGCGAACTGCAATCCTCAGATCTCAGCCTTCTGAGTAGTCTCACTGATTACGGTAAGCCTATTCAATTAAAAAAAAAAAAAAGCTGTATGCCAGTGGCTTACGCCTGTAATCCTAGCTACTCAGGAGGCTGAGATCTGAGGATCACAGTTCAAAGCCAGCTCAGCCACGAAAGTCCAAAGTCCATGAGACTCTTATCTCCAATAAACCACTCAGCAAACCAGAAGTGGAGCTGTGGTTCAAGTGGTAGAGTGCTAGCCTTGAGCTGAAGAGCTGAGGGACAGTGCCAAGGCCCAGAGTTCAAGCCTCATGACCAACAACAACAAAAAAAAGATCTGCTTTTTTGGGTAAAATTTTCCCATTAATGGAATTTTTTTTTTTTTTTTTTTTGTCGGTCATGGGGCTTGAACTCTGGGCTTGGCCACTGTCCTTGTGCTCTTCAGCTCAAGGCGAGTGCTCTACTGCTTGAGTCACAGCACCACTTCCGGTTTTCTAGAGGTTTATTGGAGATAAGAGTCTCTCGAACTTTCCTGCCCAGGCTGGCTTTGAACCTCGATCCTCAGATCTCAGCCTCCTGAGTAGTTAGGATTACAGGTGTGAGCCACCTGCGCCCGGCTTAATGGAATGTTTATCCCAAATAGCCACGTGAATAACCATGTTTATTATTATGCTATTTTAAAATAAATCTATATGAACTCACAGATTAAAAGGCATTCCTTAGTGCTTTTAACAATCTGACAGGTACTTATCTGAGAAAGTTTACTGAAATATCAAGAGATAGATCTTGTCTCACTTAAATATTTAAAAACAAGTGATGAAAAGTGTGGGCTGTCAGCTTTCTAACAGATTTTACTACTTTTCACTCAGGTTGTTAAGAGGATGTGTATCTACTGACTTTGTATGTTTTATACTGAAGATACCCCCCCAGTCCCATTCTTAATTCCTCCCAGTTGGGTGAAATTCAAACACAGTTAACTCTTACTTTTTAAGTTAGCAGCAACATTTATCTAACAATAACCACACTGCTACCAGAACCAATCCAATTCTTATAACCCTACAGTTAATGTCAAAATGACTGCTCTCTGTCAATTATCCATACCTTCAATCCCCATACTAAAATCCTAGGACCTAATGTACTTTTTTTTTTTTTTTTTTTTTTTGTGGTGATAGGGATGAAATCCAGGCCTCCTACAGGCAAGTGACCTTTGAGCTATGTTCCCAACTGCCAAGTATACTTTTTAGCACAGATGATTCAACCTAAAACTGTATTCTCTTATGCTGGGCCTCACGTGCCAAGTCAACCATAGAAGCACAATGGCAAATAACTGATAGGAAGCTATAAATATGGCAGTTTAGATGTTTATCAGGAAGTAATCCTCCGAGAAATATTCATACTGTATTTTGTTGAAAGGGCACCCTCACCTTTGCTGGCTGCATTAATCATTATTAGAGACTATAAAGAGCTTGAAAAGACTCTGGATGAGGAAGCAAAAAAGGGTTACAATCCTAACTCTCCAACTTAGTGCCTATCATGCATCTCTGATTTTGGTTAACTATTTTATTGTATCTTTACCATTAAAGTACAATAGCTTTTGGTAAAGCTATCCTGATACCCAGGAGATGTTCAGTTAAATAAAAAGATGGAAAAATACCACTATTCAGGGCAAAGACAGTACTTTCTCTGTGGAAAGAAGTATCAGTATCTGTTCCGATCTTGTTTTTTCCAAACTAGGTCCTGACACTCAGGGAACATGGCCAGCCAAGAATTTAGTGGTACAACAAAACAAGGAGTATAGCTTATTTTCATAGAAGAAAAAAAGTTAATAAATAGTATCGTTAAGTCAACTAATAGGTTATTATTCTATAAAAAGTATGTTCAATTATAGAACTAGTTTTTAAAAATTTGCCAAGTTCTGATTGCTCATACCTATAATCCTACCTACCAGGGAGGCTGAGATCTGAGGACAGTGGTTCAAAGCCAGCCCAGGCAGAAAGTTCATGAGAATCTTATCTCCACTTAAGGACCAAAAAGCTGGAAGTGGAGGTGGACTCAAGTGCCAGACTTGAGTGAAAAAGGCAACTGAAAGTGTGAGGCCTTAAGTTCAAGCTCTATTACCGGCCAAACAACAAACTAACATTGATCTTGCCAAGAGATTCATTTATAATACAACAGAGTATAGGCTATATTTTGTACTATAATTTAAACTCCAAAATATGTGGAAACTAGTCACTCGATATTAAATGTAAACAGATATACTCACAGCTTGCATTTCTATACAGTAGAAATGGTTCATGGAGCTGAAATTCCAAATCTTTATTCACGGGTTCAACTAGGTTGTGCATATTCAGCCGATTTACAATGGTAAAACCATGGTGAGGCGAAGCTGACCTTAGATTTAATAGAAGAAAATCTGTAGTTACCTTTCCATCTGTAGAAATGCTGTCTACTTCTTGATTTTCATTAAAAAAAAAGTATATTGCATAAAATTATTTTCTGCCAGGGGCTCCTATGCTGTCTACTTCTTGATTTTCATTAAAAAAAAAGTATATTGCATAAAATTATTTTCTGCCAGGGGCTCCTACCTGTAATCCTAGCTACTCTGAGGGTTATGGCTTGGAGCCAACTTGGGCAAGAAAGTCATGAGACTCTTATCTCCAATTAATGACCAAAAAGTCAGAAATGGAGAGCTGTGCCTGAAGTGGTAGAGTGCTAAGCCTTGAGCACAAAAGTTCAGAAATAGCACCTAGGCCCTGAGTTCAAGCCCCAGGACCAGCATATACATACACACAAAAATTTAAGTCAGATCATACCCTTCTCTGCTCAAAAGTCTGTAAGGAATCAGTGCCTCAGTATAAAGGCCAACAGGGATCTACTTGATACTACCACACCCCACCACTTCATCTCCTACGGTTTTCTTCCTTGATTCCCCTGCTTCAGTCAAACTGGGCTCCTTGCCAAACTCTCTGCAGATATGTTTCTACCTAAAAATCTCTGCCTAGACTATTGCTCCCAAACATGCACATCTTCAGCAAGCATTTGCTCAAATGTCACCTTCTCAAGGCCCCTTAGAATTAATGATCCCGGTCTTAATACCTCTAACCCTTCTCTATTGACCTGTATCACTTATTTGTTTAAACTATCTTTAAGTAGTTGTACAAAAACATTTACTTTTTATATTTATTGTTTTTCTCCCACTACTAGAACATAAGCTCAGGAATTTTTAAACAGATATATCCCAACAAAGACAAACAGTAAGCCTGCTTGGAGAAATATTCATTTATATAAAATGTGGTACAGAACTGTCTACAATGAAATCAATTTCCTTTTTTTTTTTGCCTTTTCAAAACCCCAAATCCAGGATTCTTGTCTTTTTTTTTTTTGGTACTGGGGATCAAACCCAGTACATAGGCAACCGCTTTTTTTTTCTTTGGGTCTGGTCATAGGGCCTGAACTCTGGGCCTGGGAGCTGTCCCTCAGCTCTTCAGCTCAAGGCTAGCGCTCTACCACTTGAGCCATAGCACCACTTCCGGCTTTTTTCTTCCTGCTTATGTGGTGCTGAGGAATCAAACCCAGGGCCTCAGGCATGCAAGGCAAGTGCTCTACCACTGAGCCACCTTCCCAGCCCCAAATCCAGGATTCTTACAAGTCCTAGTGGTTCCTACAAAGCGATAATCTGACATCTCGATATACCTTTATCTAACACATGTAAAATATTTTCATTATTTCCCAAAAAGAATTTCTTGACTCTCCTTTTATTAGAATCAATGCCATATAAGCCTCCATGAAGTAGATAGTCAAGCCACTCACTGTACTAAATCTACTATTTTCCACAATCAGATCTGTTCTATATCTTAAAATAAGGCCAGTAAAGTATTTTCCAAATATCGCAAATACCACAGTACTAGTAAGAGCTAAAGTTTCTTTGAGACTTATTACATTGCTAATAAGAGTAATGAAGGGCTGAGAATATATATTTTAAAGGAGGAAAATGTGTAACAGGAAACAAAGTGTCAAAGAAAGAAGAGCTTCATATATAAATATCTAAGCACTTACTTAAGATCATTGTTTAAATGAGTGTTTAGACAAGATCTCAAAGCTTCATATAGAAACTTTGAAGAAAATAAAATCTTTTAGATTAGCAACAATGGAGAAAGGCTAGCCTGAAAAGCTAATAAAAAAAAAATCAGGACTCAATAATGACTCCTGGCTACTACCACCTAAGCTCTAGAAAATAAGGGAACCTTCTTCTGTCAGAAGATCTTAGAAGAGTCCAGGGAAACAAGCACCCCATGACCCTCATATCCTGTCAGTTGCCTTTAGGGCCTCTCAGTGGTTTAGCAATACAAGAGCTATAAACCAATCACATTCTTTTTTTTTTTTTGCCTGTCCTGAGGCTTGAACTCTGGGCTTGGGTGCTGTCCCTGAGCTCCTTTTTCCTCAAGGCTACTGCTCTACCATGTGAACCACATCGCCACTTCCAGCTTTAGGTAAGAGTCTCATGGACTTTACTGCCCAGGATGGCTTTGAACCACGATTCTCAGATCTCAGCCTCCTGAGTAGCTAGGATTACAGGCATGAGCCATCAGTGCCTGGCCCAATTACATTCTTAAGATGGTAAATTCTCAAAGAAGTTGGAAACAAAAAATGTGCAACTCGGGCTGGGAAGGTGGCTCAGTGGTAGAGTGCTTGCCTCGCATGCATGTGGCCCTGGGTTCAATTCCTCAGCACCACATAAGCAGAAAAAGCTGGAAGTGGCACTGTGGCTCCAGTGGTAGAGCGCTAGCCTTGAGCTGAAGAGCTGAGGGACAGCGCCCAGGCCCAGAGTTCAGGCACCATGACTGGCAAAAAAAAAAAAAAGTGCAATATGAATAATCTAGTCTCTCTATAAAGTACTCTCAAACTACATATTACCAAAAGTGCTATCTATTATCCAGACCATTGGGGGAAATGGGGTTGGAAAGGGGGCAGAACCAGTCATTGAAGATAACCTCTAATTTTTTTTAATCATTGAACAGGGGAACAGGCCTGTCAACTACTTTATGGCAATAGTGTACATATTATATTTTACACATAGACTCTCTCTCTTTAATTTAGGGGAGGCAAACATCTATTTCAGACTCATTCATTACTAGGGACCTAGCTAGCTTAGTATCTCACATGGAGGGATAAAAACCAGAGAGGACAAACAGAAATGAACTACTTCATAGGACAATGTTCTTTACCACTTAAAAAATGAAACACATTTTTAAAAGCTTACCTTCTATATACAAATAGAGTCCCTTCTATATCAGTTTTCTCCTATAATAGAAAAATAAGTCTATTAGTTATCCAATCTCAAGTAGTTGCAATGGAGAAATACTTCATGTTTAAGACCATTTTTTTTTTTCAAACTGTAAAATTTATCTTTCTTTGAAGATATTGGGGTTTAAACTCAGGACCTTAAACTTGTTAACAGAGCCATGTTCCCAGCTTGTAGAAAAAGAAGGATTGTAGACTTTCTGATCTCCATTTCTGAGTGGCCAAGATTAAAATGTAAGCCATCTGGTTGGGCCTAAATCAATCACTTTTGAACAGGAAAAGCAAGTCATCCTCTCCACAGATTGTTGTTATTAGTTTCATATATCCATTACAAATTACTGATACATACATAAGCTTATGCAACTTTCAATACAACATACCTGCCTCTGTAGTATTTTCTTTTTAACTTGTGCAGAAGATTGTAGAATAGCTTTAATTTTTTAAAAGCTAAAAATGTCTCAGAGTTTTAAAAAATGTGTTCAAGGCTAGTGCTCTACTTGAACCACAGCTCCACTTTTTGGTGGTTAACTGGAAATAAGAGGCTCAAGGACTTTCTTGCCCCGGCTAGGTTCCAACAGATCTCACTGAGTAGCTACGTTTACAGGTATGAGCTACCAGCACCTGGCTATTGGTTTGTTTTTTAATTTTTAAAATTGCTATTACAAAGGCTATGTATAGAGGGGTTACAGGCTCATAATTTAGGTAATGAGTACATTTCTTTTCGGACAATGTCACCTCTTCTCTCCCTCTCTCCCAGTTTTTCCTTGCTGTCTCTACCCACAAATTGTACAGCTCATTTTCAACATAGTGTCTAGTAGGTACTAGACATTCGTTTCTCCTTGGTCCTTTCATTTCTGTGTCCCGCCCTTACCCTTGTGAAGTCTTGTGAACATGTTTTAGCATTTGAAACAGAATTCTACAATCCAAGATTTTAAAATGTTGAATATCTTTGTGAAAAACTAGAAACAAATATTAAGTTGTGACCTACATTTATTTGCTTGCAATTTATATTTCAACAAATTTATCTGCAGGCCAACAAAAATGACTCAAAGCACTTCAAATTCGGGCACAGTTTAAAACAGTTACATGTATAATAAAATCATCTATAATCTTACTCTTTGTGGCTTTCAACAAAGAAAAGAGGAAAAGAAGATGAAGAAAAATTTTGAATTCATTGTTCACAAATGCCAAATGATTTTTCACAAAATTACTATAATCTATGCCTGGTTTAAAGATTCCATTGCTCAGTGAAATGTGAATGCCAATCACCGATCAATTCTATACAACCATCATTTAGGGATTGTAAGTGAAGGTTATAGCTAAATGAGTTAATTAGGAAGTCAGTTAGAAGAAATGGGAATATTATGCAAACAACTAAAGCGCCTCAAGGAGGGGCTGAGAAGAGTTAGTGAACAAACTGAATATAAACTTTTGAATCCTCCCTCCAGTGCACAGAAACCTAAAAGTATCTTAAGTCTGAAGAAAGTATTCAGAGGTGACATCACTGTTTCCCTCAACACATCTTGGAGAATGCAACTAACCTAAAGGCCTTTCCCTAAATGCCTTGAAATCTTTCCCCAAACTCTGGAATATGGTGTAGCTCGATTAAAGGCGGACTCACTCTCCCCTTCTCTTCCAAGAATTAATTGGATTTCAAACTTCAAATCCAAATGACCTCTGCGAAGGGGGTCTATAATTTAAGAATGTCGGAGGGGGGGAGGAAGACGAAGGGTATTTATTTTGTAAATTATGTATGTGCAACTTATCTAATAATCCTAAAACGTCATACCCAAGTTTTTGAGCACCTTTTGGGTCTCACCAGTCACATATCCTCCACGCATTTGTAGAGCGGGCAGGTCGCCCCGGTCCCCAGACTCGACCCCAAGGGACTGATCTTGCTCCAATCCTCCCCTCCATCGGCTTTTCCCCCCGAGGCCACTCCCGCAAGCTTTTCCCATTCCCCCCGCGCCACCCGAAACCAGCGCACTCCGTCACCCCTCAGGGTCTGGCCGGACTCTAGGACAGGCTCTGGCCTCGCCTTCACCGTCTAGGCTTCCTGCCTCGTCGCCCCCCTCCCCCAGCAGCCTGCGCTGTCCCTTTAAGAGGGGTGGCCGGGCAGGCGTCCCCAGTGACTAGGCCGCACTCACCCACTGGTTAGCTTTGGGGGAGAAGGTGTACAGAGCGACCTGGCCCGTGAGGTCGGCAATGCTGGTGATGTAGGGGTCGTGCTGCTTCAGGGCCGCCAGACTCATCTCCTGCCCAGCCCTACTCGGGGACTCCATCTTGAATTTCGGAGCCGAGCCCCTTCGGCGGGGGCGGAGCCGCGGACCGGAAGGTTCCATCCAGGCACAGTTCCCCCAGCTCCGTCAGCCCTCTCAACTTCCGCTCTCTCTCCGGGCCTGACTCGGGGCGGGGGGATGGGGGGGGGGGTGCAGGAGTTATTGCTCTCCGCCGCCCGCGCACGCCCTTAATCTGCCGGGTTCCGGTTCCCGCAGGGCCAATCAGCTTGAGGAACGAGCTGGGTAGGCGGTGGCAGGTGGGAGCCGCCCAGCGGGAGGCCGGCGCTACTTCCCAGTAAGCTAAAACTTCAGACCCGGTGCTGAGCGCGGTCCACGTCCTCCTCCGAACGCGGCCGGGCCGGGCTGGGCGCCGCCGGGGTGCCGGCTGGGGTCGGGGACGCGGCGGCGCGGGAAAGGTCCCGCGCAGCACAGGGGAACTTCAGGGGTCCTTGGACCTTTTAGAAAGCACAGAACAGCGTGGCAAGGGGGAAGCTCAGCTCAGACCCGGGCTTATCACGGCTGTTAGTAATTTTGCGATTTCTGAAAGAAAACATTTTCCGCCCCCAGAGGGGAGCGCTAGTCCTAGGGCTTGAACTCAGGGCCTGGTCGCTCGTGGCTACTGCCCTACCACTGGAGCCGTAGCTTCACTTCCGGTTTTCTGGTGGTTGATTGGACTTTCCTGCCCGGGCTGGCTTTGAACTGCAGTCCCCAGATCTTAGCCTCCTTAGAAGCTAGGATTACAGGCGTGAGCCACTTGTACCTGGCTCTAAAGAGAACTTTTAAAATCATCAAAGTAACTTTATGGCAGCGCGGACTGGAACAGATCAACGCTACGTTTCAGAGACGATAAAGGAGTTTATTGGGGGGGCCACCCGAACCAGGCTAGTGCCAGAAAGAAGTTAAGAACCCGAGGGAGGGGAAACCCTGGGTTTTATACAAGCTGGTTACACACAAAATAGGCATAATCAGATATATAAAAGGTCAGGTGGGCTGACAACTTCTGACCAGGTGGACAAGTCCTTTCTAGTTGTTCAGAAATCATGACATCCTGCCACTACCCCTTCTGTACTGTTATTTTTAAATGCCTTGTAGGTTTCCCACTACTGATTCAGATAGCTCCACTTAGTCGTCCCCCAACCCACTTTCCAGCAACAGCCCCTCTGGGCCACTTTCTTGCAACGGGGTGAGGGATTAGACCGGTAATTAGATTCTGGAAAGTCCTTGCACTGGGAGGGGTAACTTTGTCTACTTCAGAATTACACAGGAGTCTTTCCTATCCACTTTAGCCTCTAATTTTCCTGTCTTTCCAGTCTAGGGAAGACTCCTTGAGGACTTGCGTTTGTCTTGCATCATTTAAAGTATTAAATAGATGACTCACTCTTTGAACAATTTAAAACAATATACAGAGCTAGGTACTAGTTAAAGAGTAAAATGAAACTATAGGAAGCTTTATCCTCCAGACTTGTTAAAAAGCATTCTTTTTCCTTTGATTGGAAATACACCCCAACAGAATGGAAACCTTTTGAAAGCAAAAGGAAAACAAAACCACATTTTTTACCAGAATAACATGACATATTTGTGTTGTCTACAATTTTATATCCCAAGGTCATTGGTCAATGGGAAGAAAAATCTTATATTCGTTACAGATTCGGGCATGAAGCATCTACAAAAGCAGGCAAAGAAAGATATACCATTCCCTCTCCCTCCTATAAGTATTTATTGAAGCTATTGTTGTTAATTGGTGGCCACTTAGGAGCTTTTAACTAGCAAATCTTGGCTCTAGGAGACATTGAAAGAAATAGGATGATATAAATAACCAGGGATGATGCTACAGACATTTATCCTTGAAACATAGAAGATGGAGCTACTAATTTAGTTGTCTGGGAAAAGGAGGCTTCAAGGAGGAGGTGGTGCTTGAATTGGTGCACCAGGTATGAGCATGTGTTTTTCAAGGAAGCAAGGTACAGGCTCCAGATTGTTTCACTGGCCAGTGGTGAAGCAGGGAAGATGTGATCATCTCCATATGGTTTAATTCATACCCGTTGGAAAGAAGCCAGTGGCTCAAAATTCCATGTTGGTCAGAGATTCTGATGATAGAATCCAGGGAATCTTGCCTTCTATGGTCGAGTCTTATTCTACATACGAGAGTTGCCTTTCGAGCTGGGCGCCAGTGGCTCACACCTGTAATCCTAGCTACTTAGGAGGCTGAGATCTGAGGATTGCGGTTCAAAGCCAGCCCAGACAGGAAAGTCTGTGAAACTCTTATCTCCAATAAGCCACTCAGAAAACCGGAAGTGGTGCTGTGGCTCAAGGGGTAGAGTGCTCACCCTGAGCTGAAGAGCTGAGGGACAGTGCCCAGGGCAAGTTCAAGCCCCATGACCGACAAAAAAAAAAGTTGCCTTTCTTCCTCTCACTGGCTAAGAGCAGGAGCCTTCTTCCCTTCTGTCCATTTGAAGAATCTGTAGCCTGACTAAGGTACATGTATGAAATTTAAATAGATAATACATTTACCTTTTGCTAAATTCAAAAGACACACCTGGCACTGCATTTAGTTTTTTTTTTCCCCCTTACATATATTTCCTAAAATGATTTCTCTCAGTCAACTGTTTTTGGCAGTACTGGGGTTTGAACTCAGGGTCTTGTGCTAGCTAGGCCAGTGCTCTAATACTAAGCTAAGCCACCAGCTCTTAGTCTACAGTTTGTGATTGAGCAGGGATAAACTAGTAAAGAAGAGCAAGATATTTTAGGTTTTCATACTTAGAATAGAAAATCACTTCAAAATGCATTTTTGGTCTGGTGTGGTGGCTCATGCCTGTAATGCTAGCAGTTGGGAGGCTGACACAAGAGACTGAAAGTTTAAGGGCTACCTAGTCTGCATAGTAAAACTCTGTCTCTAAAAATCATTTTGGAAGACCCAGACATGCTACTATTGATCTACTTTATATAGCTTTGAAGTCATATGGAAGTTGTAAATATTTTGGAATTGAAAATCATCCTTATTTATTTTGAGCCCTAATATATTCTTATATTTGTGAATCAAACCTTAAGAGTTTTCTTGTGTCTGTAGACAATAAACTGGGAGACAAGATGGCAGCTTAGTCTACTAGATCACCAGTAGATAGCCCAGTCCATAGCATAGAGTAGATTCTCAATAAATATTAGTGAATGAATGCATCTTGAAACCCAACTCATTGAAATCTACACAAAATGCTAGTGGGAAGGAAAGGAGGCTTATTCTACATCAAAAATTTTCAGTCAGGGCTGGGAAGATGGCTCAGATGGCCTTGCATGCTTGAGGCCCTGGGTTCGATTCCTCAGCACCACATAAGCAGTAAAAGCTGGAAGTGGCACAGTGGCTCCAGTGGTAGAGCGTTAGCCTTGAGCTGAAGAGCTGAGGGACAGCACCCAGGCCCAGAGTTCAGGCCCCATGACTGGACCCCCCCCAAAAAAAACATTTTTTTTCAGTCAGGCAGAGTCTCACTCTGTAGCCCAATTCATGGTTCTCTTGCCTCAGCCTCCAAGTGCTGAGATAACAAGTGTCTGCCATCTTACCTGGCTTCAAATATTTAAGAAAAATAATTATAAAAGAAAACTTAAAAGCTCACCACTATCACCTCTTCTCTCTTCTACCTTGAACCTCTTTCTTGAAAAGAAAAGTTGCCATTTAAGCCAGTGCGGTGGCTCAAGTCAGTAAACTTAGCTTCTTGGGAGGTGGAGATTGGAGGTTTCGAGATTTGAGGCAAGCCAGGTATAAAAAAGAAGTTTGAGAGACACCATCTTAATCAATGACTGGGAGTTGTGGTTCTTGCCTGTTATTCCAGCTATTGGGAAAGTACAATAGCACAAGTGCACAACAGTGCATACCTGTCATCCCAAATGACACGAGATACCAAAAGAAGGAAGATCAAGGGGCTGGGAATGTGGCTTAGTGGTAGAGTGCTAGTCATGAGCAAAAGAAACTTAGAACAGTGCCCAGACCCTAAGTTTAAGCCCCCGGAATGGAAAAATAAAAAAGAAGATCAAAGCCCAGGCCAGTCTGAGAATTGGAAACATGGCTCAAGTTGTAGATCACCGGCCTACCAAATTCAAGGCCTTGAGTTCAATACCTCAGTACAGCATTGAAAGTTACCATTTAAAATTATGGGACCAAGGCAGATACAATGGTGCACAACTGTTGTTCTAGCAACTCAGAAGGCTGAGGTAGGAGGACTACTCTAACCCAGGAGTTTGAGACCAGCCTGGGAAATGTAGCAAACCATATCTTAAAAAAAAAAAAAGAAGAATAAAAAGAAAAAAAGAATGGAATGATCTTTCTGAGGTAAAGAACACTGGTAATCAGTTTTTCTTTTTTTTTTGTCGGTCGTGGGGCTTGAACTCTGGGCCTGGGCGCTGTCCCTCAGCTCTTCAGCTCAAGGCGAGTGCTCTACCACTTGAGCTACAGCGCCACTTCCGGTTTTCTGGTGGTTTATTGGAGATAGGAGTCTCACGGTCTCTCCTGCCCGGGCTGGCTTTGAACTGCGATCCTCAGATCTCAGCCTCCTGAATATAGGATTACAGGCGTGAGCCACCAGCGCCCAGCTTAGGTAATCAGTTTTTTAATTCCAACCTTAACTGTTGTTACTTGGTCAGTTACAAACCTCCCCTTTCTCCAATGTAAAACCCAATGGCCCAGCCATAGTCTGGAAAACATGGCTTCATCTGATCTCCTACTATATTTTCACTACCATTTTTTATAAATTGGCCTAGCAAGTTTTCACCCTAGCCAGCCATCTGGTCTCCTTGCTATCTATTCCTGTACAAATACTGTCAAAAGGCAAGATTATAACAAATTTTCATTTAAACATCTAATTGACTTAAAAAATAAGCTTACACAGTTATGAACGGAGTTATTTCATCATTACATTTCCACACATGTTTACAATGTTTCCCAATCAATCTTAATCCATATATCATGGAATTGGCTTTTATTTGTGGTTCTAGAATCCTGCAATACTTCATACTTCTTTGAAGGGATATACAGAATGCAGCCCCAGCAGCCAAATATACTTCTATAATACAGAAGCATGATTGGAGAATCTACCTGTCTGCATCAGAGCCAGACATTAAAGAAATCTGTAAAAA